CCGATAAGATTTGGGAATTAAACCCTGTTACTCCCCAAATAGCTGCTGCATCATCCATAACGGTAAAAACGGAAGTGATTGAAAGTTTACAAAAACAGGTTAGTGAACTTAGCTTACAAGTTTCTGCTTTAAACAAGCAACGTCCACAGTCGTCCCTATTGTCGTAACCGATCCAAATCAAGAGATAGGAGTTACAGTGGTAACAGATCTAGTGATATTTGTTACTATCATAAAAAATTCGGTGATAAGTCATTTAAGTGTAAACAACCCTGCAACTACTCATCAACATCACAGACAAATAGTCCGGAAAACCAGCTCCCCGTCTCTCATTGACGACGGAGGGACAAGGGGTGCAGCTGAGTCGTCTTTTCATCAGCGACAAAGAATCGGCTACCCAATTTTTAATAGATACTGGGGCAGAAATTTCTGTCATTCCTCCCTTGCCTGCAGATAAAAAAAACATCTCAAAATTAGAACTCTTTGCTGCAAATGGTACGAAAATTAAAACATATGGCCAAAAATTACTCAAGCTTGATCTTGGACTCAGACGATCATTCACATGGCCTTTTGTAATTGCGGACGTAAACAAACCGATAATAGGCATGGATTTTCTTGCAAATTTTAACCTTTTGGTAGATTCTAAAAATCGCAAGTTGATTGATGGTACTACATTCTTAACAACCAATGGAACTCCTTGTTTTCAAAATAACAATAATAATATTCCGATTTTAAATGCCGTAAATGATCCATATAAACGTATCATTAACGATTTTCCGGATTTGTTAAAACTGAATGTAGTTAATAATAAAGTTAAAAATCATAACATCGAACATTATATCGAAACCAGAGGTCCACCAGTTTTCGCTAAAGCCAGGAGACTATCAGCTGAGAAACTTAAAGCGGCTAAAAAGGAGTTTGAATTTATGCTCCAAATGGGTTTATGCAGACCATCCAAAAGTAACTGGTCGAGCCCACTACATCTCGCTATGAAGAAATCAGGTGATTGGAGACCTTGTGGAGACTATCGAGCGTTAAACAACGTCACGATTCCTGATAGATACCCTCTCAATTTTTTAACAGATTGCAGTTCCATTTTAGCTGGAAAAAGAGTTTTCACATCCATAGACCTCATTAGAGCGTACCAACAAATTCCAGTTCGCGAAGAAGATATACCGAAAACGGCCATTCTCACTCCCTTTGGCTTATTCGAGTTCCCATTCATGACGTTCGGCCTACGAAATGCGGCCCCAACGTTTCATGAACAGTGTGTTGAATGGACTAGAATTCGTGTTTTGCTATTTGGATGACATTCTAATAGCCTCCCCAGATGAAGAAAACTCACCAAAAACATCTACGAGCAGTCCTTGAGAGACTAAACGAATATGGCCTGTGTATTAATGCGGCAAAGTGTAAATTTGGTCAAGCAAAACTTGCATTCCTGGGATACGAAGTGTCAGCTGAAGGACTTAAACCTCTCTCAACGAAAGTTGATGCCATCAAAAATTTCCCAGAACCAAAGTCATTTACTAGTTTAAGACGATTTTTAGGTATGGTGAATTTTTATCACAGATTCATACCAAATTGTGCAAAACTGCAACAACCTTTAACAACATTGCTCAGTGGTATTAAAAAGAACTGCAGAAAAGAAATAACCTGGACGGCAGAAACAAAAAACGCCTTCCAGATCTTAAAAGATGCACTTATTCATGCCACAAACTTTAACTCACCCATCCGAAAAGGCTGAAATATCGCTAACAACTGATGCTTCCGATACTGCCATTGGAGCCGTTTTTCATCAGATTGTGAATAATGAAAAACAACCTTTAAGTTTCTTTTCCCGGAATTTGACATCAGCACAACAAAAATATAGTGCCTACGATAGAGAACTCTTAGCCATCTATACAGCAGTAAAACATTTCAAATACATCTTAGAAGGGCGAACTTTTGCAATATACACGGATCACAAACCACTAACATTTGCCTTCCAACAAAATTTGGAAAAAGCTTCCCCACGACAAGCTAGACAACTGTCATATATTGGCCAGTTCTCAACCGATATCCGATTCATACAAGGGCATGAAAATACCGTCGCTGACGCTCTCTCTCGCATAGACACCATTTCTGTACCATCTGCAATAGACTTACAAACTATAGTAGACTGTCAAGAAGATGACGACTTGGAGACACTAAAAAACAACCCAAACTTAAAAATCCTACAGATCCCTATACCGGACAGCGACAAGAAAATTTACTGTGATACTTCTACAAATTATAATCGACCATACATCCCTGCAAAGTTTCGGCAGAAAATATTTTCTTCAATCCATAATTTATCTCATCCTGGAATAAGATCCACGATAAAATTGATAACACGACGTTTCATATGGCCCAATATGAATAAAGACTGCCAACTATGGACTAGAGCATGTTTATCTTGCCAAAGATCTAAAGTTCACAGACATACACATTCATCTTTGGGAGAATTCAAAGTACCTCCACACAGATTCCAGCATTTAAACATAGATCTGGTGGGTCCGCTACCTCCTTGCAAAGGATTCAAATACCTTCTAACCATCATCGATCGTTATACACGATGGATCGAAGCGGTACCGTTAGAAGATCAATCAGCAGAATCTATTGCTAAAGCTTTGATTTATACTTGGTTTTTTCACGCTTTGGAATTCCGAATCGCATAACATCTGACCAAGGTCGGCAATTTGATAGCCAACTTTTTCAAGCTTTAGGAAAATATCTTGGTTTTCATACAAACACTACAACTGCGTACCATCCACAGGCAAATAGCCTGATCGAAAGACAACACCGAACTTTAAAAGCAAGTCTCAAATGTCATCTACTCGAATCAAAATCATGGCTGGAAGCATTGCCTTTCGTTCTTTTAGGCATAAGATCTGCCATCAAGGAAGACTTAGGTTGCTCATCCGCAGAACTTGTATACGGAACTCCTTTAGCATTACCTGGTGAATTCTTTTCCACAGTACCTCATATGAAACAGTCTGAATTTTCTCAAAACCTTCAGAAAATAATAAGAGCTATGAAGCCAAATTCTACCACCACCCATGGAAATAGAACAGTCTTTGTTTCTAAACATCTTTCCAACTGTTCTCACGTATTCCTTATACAACAACATTAATAATTCGTTCGCTACAGCCTGTCTATCTTGGACCGTATCCTGTAAGAGCAAGAAAGGATAAGTACTTTCGATATTGAAATCCAAGGAAAAGTTAAAAGAGTTTCAATAGACAGACTAAAGCCATGTTTCCTAGTGCAAGATTCTGATATTCCTTTTCAAAACTCCCATTCCAAGAAAGCGGAACTTGGGGAAACACCTGCACTCAAGAACACTGAAGGAACTTCAGAAAATCATCATGAAACTAAGACTACTAGAACCGGCAGACATGTGAAGTTCCCCAGTCACTTTAAAGACTATTTTCCATAATCGCTGTCACTAGGAAGGGGGTGTGTAGTGTCGCTTCAGTTCCGTTAAGTTTCTAATGAAGTTTAGTTAAAGCGGAATGGCAACACCTTCTAGTCTCCGATTCACTATGGGCCATTTATTTTTTAATTTATTTTGTCCCAACTTTTCTTTCGGGCCTTTTGAACTCGTATAAAACTAAACCTACGAAAAGCTCCTAAACAAAGTAAAGTTCCTTTTTTTATCCTTCTAAAATCTCGAAATTGCCCTCTTTCTATATCCTTTCCTTCGCACCTATGCTTGATTTTTCGCCCATCGGTGCAGAAAGACTTAGCGGGTGCAAAACAAGACATCTGTCTACTTTGTCTGTCTGTCTGTCTAAAGAACGAAGTAAACAAACTCCGAGTTTTTGTCACGCGATGCTACGTGCATGTAAAATGTAAATAAATCTTATGAATAAGTATCTATAACATCGTAAGGAATAAAATATTGGTTCCATAGGAGTCAGAGAAGTGTTATTTTTCTATATTTGCACACCAGACACTTCACTTCCTATTCACCAATTTTTGTGTCCATCGGACGACTCCTTTTTGGTGCGTCGATTTTTTTGTTATAGAGTGTAAGAAGAATATTCTGAAAAATATATATGTACATTTAAAAGAATGGAAGCAAACGTTTTATTTTCATATGACATACTGACAATTGTATTTATAAAACTTCAGGTCTCGTGTACATATATATATATATATATATTGAAAACATAAAAATTCTAGACACCACGAAATAATTAACATTTAAAATGAACAGAAAACATTGAAAGAGAAGTAATTAAAACAGGAACTTGGGTTATAATATGCATACATATAGAGTGTCTGCAAATTGTTTTCCAAAATAAGAGGACTGATAGTACCCATCAAGTCAAACAGTACTTGAAATGGAACCTACAACCCTATTCCACTAATAAAGTCAGAAAAGTGGTGTAAAGTTAAATGCCAAAGTTCAACTCCCCCCCCCAGAAAAAGTTTTTGCATGTTCCTCATACATGCAATCTGCCATGGCCTTCACAAAGTTGTTTCAGATATCTCATTATGGTAACAGTCTGTAGCTTGAGGATTAACACTTTGACAGAATAATGTTTGCTTCTGCTGGCTTTGTATGGAACCTTGATGAGATAATCACTGCAATTGTTATTGCTACTGCTTTTCACTGGAAATCTGCATACAGCAAATAGTATTTGTCGATCTAGAACTTCTCTGGCAGGACACAAATGATGCCAGATGTGACAAATTGTCCTTGCTGGTTGTATTTTTAAGTTAATTTTTCTTGAAACTGTGAGTGCAATGTGGCCCTAGTAAATATTATTCATTTTGACAGATACTGTCATCCCTCTTTTTTACTTGAAACAGAGTATGAACACACTGTATTAGAAAAAAAGAGAGAGAAACTGGTTTCAATATTTAGTTTCTTATATTAAAATATATTTATGAAAAATACTGCTCTGCATAAGTACTGCATTCTCACAGAAAAAATGACAAATGTGAAAAAATATACAAATACATCAAAATTTCAAAACAATAAAACCTCTCAAAAACTCTCATTTGTAACTTTATGTACATTTGTAGTTTGAACTAAAAAATATTTTCTTTTTTGGTATACAAAATTGAAGTAGTTTTTTTTTTTTTTTTTTTTTTTACTTTTCTATTTAATGTGGTATCTTAAAAAATTTCTCTGAATTTATTTACATTAGATTAACATAGTTTATCAAAATGCATTATATGTCTTTTCATTTCACAAAGCATCATAATTACTACATTTCCCTTTGTATAAGACGCTTTCATGCATAACATGCAGCTTGATTTTGGGAACATAAAACAAAAAATAAAGAATTATTTGATTGACAAACTGGTTTTTATTAGGATGCTGGATAAAAAATTAATAGGGAAAAATATTACCTAAAGTTATTGAAATCAACACTTATTTGGTATAAAACTTGGCATCACTGTCAGAACTCCCATCCATTAGTTCTCATTAAGTACATAATAGCCCAAGATGCAGTTTTCTCTAATGCATTATATCAGTTCATCTTTAGTACGGATAGTCTTGTCCTAAAAGGATTCTTTTAGAGTTCTTTATCTTTAGGCTTAAGCTGACTTACGGGAAAGCTTCTTTGTTAGGAGCTAGAAACGATATCATCTAAAACCTTCACATCTCTTGGTTTATTAATTAATGATGGGCGGAAGAAACTGTTGCAAATCTCAAAGGAAATTGCAGATATTTCAGTTTTTAAAGAAACAGGTAAATGACATTCTAAGGGTTAACATGCACCCTTGGTTTCGTTCAGTGTTTTGCTGTTGCCACTAGTGCCAGCCACTACTGTATATGATGCACCCAGTTTTTAGACACAAAATTTTTAAAGAAAAAGAGCATCTTATATACCAGGAAATATAGTACATTTTTGCTGTTATTGTAAATGTTTTATCAATAAGTTCAGTGCTTTCAGAATTTTATACAAAATATTCATTTATACCCAAAAGAATTATTTAACGTTATATAATAAACATTTTGCTTCAAATTTTCAAATAAAATTTAAAGATAGTTTGAAAATAAAATTGCAATGTAATTACGGAAACATTTGATTACTTCAAAAGCCATTAAATCATAAATCAGGGTCCCTGAGATGCAACTTTCGATGACTTGTCAGAACACTTCGATAATTGAAACGTTTAGGGCAAAGATCACATGCAAAAGGTCGTTCATTGTTATGAGTGGCCATGTGTCTATTTAGTGTTCCTTTCTGAGTAAATCTTTTCCCACATAAGCTGCATTTGTGCTGATATCGCTCAGAAGAATGCTTCTCTGAATACCGGTCACAATACTCAACTCCCCGATGATAAAACGTCCGTGTATGTTGAGCTGTAATTGCATAGTCTTTAAGAATCAAATTATTAAATTGTTGATCAGAATCTAAAAAAAGAAAACGTATATCAATTGCATATTTATTATAATACATCATTTTTGTGAAATAATAATTATATTAACAAATTTATCAAAATACAGAAAGTAAAATTCTATAGTTAAATAACTATTTTAAATAAATAATATAAATTTATAACTAATACTACACTAAATTATGATATGTAATTCTATCACTAAATTATAAATAAGATGTTTTGGTACAAATGTCATTAATATAATATATAAATTAAATCCATAACAAACATTTTTAAACCATAATTATACTCTTTTTTTTAGTTTCCAATTATAACATCACTTCTTAAACTGGAATCAGAGTATTTGAACAGACTGGCAGTGGACAGTTTTACAGGTAGAAATTTATACTTATTAAACTAATAAAGCATTTTCAAATTAGTTGTCATAATAAGAATACACAGTAAAAAAGTGTGTAAAAAATACACAGAATTTTTTAATTTCTCTCATACTAAACACTGTTAAATTTTATTATTTATGCTCTTTTAAAGCAATCATGAGATATATGGGAGATTTACCGCTAGGATTGCATCAAAAAGAGGTTGAATGTGTTTATACTATTTTAGTGGTAAGTTTTAAATCTATTTCATAAATTTCAAGATTAATTTATACTGTTAGTATATAGTAAAAATAATAGTACTTTGCAGACTATTTGAATAATCATTACAATTTTTATATACTTATGATGAAAAACGACCAAAAATATTTTATTTAAAAAGTGCATTTTATTAGATTCCTCTTTCGGCAACTAAATCTAATTTGCCTATAACAGATATGTCATCACCATCCTTCTTTACGAGATGAAGTTTACTGTCAGCTAATGAAACAAACTACTAACAACAAAAGCTTAAATCCGTAAGTATATTCAACTTAAATTACAAAATGCATTTTTAATTGTTTCATTTTATACAGAATTAAATTTGCTTTTATATAAATGACTTAAAATGAACTTATTTTACATAAAAAAAGCTGTCTAAATATATTATTAAAACTAATATTCTCTTAGATAAATTTGATACAAAAATCTAGCAAGAAAATTAAACTGAAAGAATTTTAGACAATATTAAATAGCAATCAGTATCTGCAAAAATAGTTCCGTTTAGCTTCTAGATTTTGATACATTTAAGATTCATAATTCTGATTCAGTTCAAATTTACATAGTTTTCCTCTCCTCCCTAAGAGATAGCAGGATACGAGGATGGAGACTGCTTGCATTTATAGCTGCCTTCTTCAAATGCTCTGACAGTTTAATGCCTTATTTAAGGAAATATTTGGATACAGCTGCTCAAGATCAAAGACGATTAGAACATGGTAATATATATATTTTATCTCTTCTGAGAAATTATAAAAACATTATAATACAAAAAATTCAATTTTATTTCCTGAAAGGGAAAACAATTAAAGCAAATAATTGATAAATTAATACAATTTTTTTTTTAATTTTTCTACAGGTACGGCAGAAATTAGTATTTACAATTTGAAGCAGACTCTTAAATATGGTGGACGACGCAACGTTCCAAGTGAACATGAAGTACATTCTGTAACTGTAAGAATAGTAAACAAATTATTTTTCTCTTTCTAAGGTCAAAGATGCATGTAAATAAGAAAGTTAATAACTCAATATAAATAAATCAAAAACAGATCATTTTGAAAATTTTGTGATATTTAAAATATACATAAATTTTTCCAGCACATTCATGCATGCCATAACTATAAATAGATAAATATGATTTATGGTTTTAAGATTTATGATTGTATAGTAATTTATGTCTTATTAAATAGCCCAACACTCACAGCAAATCAAAAGTTGCCCAAGTAAAAAGTTGTGAAAACAAATAAATTATTTATACTGGATTAATTTATTATAAAATATCAATAAACATAGCTTTCGCATAAAACTTCTGCTAAGTTAATGGCATGCAAACAAAATTATTTAAATATATTAAAAGCTGTGAAAAGGTATAGATAAAAACTTCCGTTCATTAAAATTTTTAGGTATGAAAATTTGGAATGTATCTTCTATAAAAAAGGATAAAGCCATTAACCATATTTGATTATTTGACATCGCTTGTTCACATATATTAAATCCTTTTATGCCTATCTACCATGCAAGCATTGAATAATCCGAAATGCTCTTTTACTATTAAATTAAGTAGAAAATATTTTAAATGCTTACAAATACTTTTCATTAATAAAATTCTTAATTCTTATGAAACTGTGCTTACGTGACATTCAAAATTTAAGAAAAGCTTTATATTTTTTTAAATGGCAAGATTATGATTGTTTATTTTGCACAGAAAGCAAAGCAGCAATTTAAAGAATGATAGAAATTAAATAAAAGTTAAATGCAATAGCAAATTTAGTGAACTGAGAACCTGCAGTCACAGCACAACTTTTCAAAATAAAACCTTGTAATGATGAAAACCTCAGTCCTAAAATTATTTTAAAAGAAAAATAACACTCATAAATTACTATAGAATGTTATAAATGCTAAATATAAAATCAGAAACTGGATTCTCTGTGGAACGATAAAAAATTACATAGCCTGAGCACTTTTTTATATTTTAATTCATTGTGAAAGCCATGCATTTTCCCATGAAATACATGATTGACAAAGATTACATATTAACAGTCATACTCATTTATATATAACAAGATATATTTTATATATCAATAATAGAATAATTTAGAATGAAACTTTTGTTGTAATAAGAAATATATAATTTAACTATTAAAAGGAAACCATGCAAAATTTTAAGACACTATTCAAATACAAAAAATTCATATTAAATTTATTTCAGTGAAAGACACTGAAAGGAAAACAAGCATAATGCTTTTAGATTGAAGCTAAATATTTATTTCAATGTATTAACGTTAAAATATCATTTTTTAAAAATTCATACTACTATATTATTTTAAAACACACACATTTAGTAAAAAATTAAATACTTATCTGGCAATGAATAGCAATAATGTGTGTCTTATTATATTTGAATTATAATATTTTATTAAATTTGGCAACAAGAGTTTATTGTAAATATATCTGGCAACGTCTTATCGGCCAATTCTTATACTGAGTATGCATTTGTATTTCGTGAGTGTTCATATCCATTGAAATGTTTTTTCAAGCAAAAAATGTACACTTGTACCTTGGTATATGGCCACTTTGAAACATGTCTAACTTGGTATACATCCTGTTTGGGTGTGAATATTTTTTGGGGGGGATATACAATATTTATTTGCAATACAATGAATTCAATGAGTCATGACTGCATGCCCTACACTTGTTTACTTCTTTTGAGACAATGCTACAACTGCCCATGAGCATCAGTACACCTATTGCTACCATTCAGTAAATAACCCACACTACAACTGTGAATTTTAGAGTAATTTTGTGGTTTTCTGTGCATACTTTTTTTTGGGGGGAATTCATTAGTTGTTTGGTGCATTTGGTTTTGGCAAAGCCCTCAAAGTCAATCTGCCTACGGACAAAGATGCCTTTGTGGAGGGCTTTGTAAGGGAACTAGCTCAAATACATGTTACACATGGGGGAGACGATGAAAACACCCATGCAGCCAGCCCATTTGCGGAATTTGAACCTTGGACCGAACTACTAGTGTTCAGCGACTTTGCCACTGGGGATCCTTGAAAATTCATTCACAACAAGTTTTACAAAAGTTAACTAGAATAGTAAATCACCAAATAAAATTGTTATGATCACCATGGAGGTGAAAAGAGATTATTAAAAAGGATGAAGATGGCACATGTATCCCGGACAAGGCTATTGCACACCTTATGCCAAGTATAGTGGTCTCTACGATTATGAAAAAGAAAGACACTATTAAATTGACTAACAGTCTGAAGAGGATGAAATTAATTACCAAACAGTGATAAGACATGTTAAAAAATTGCTTCTGATCTGGATAGCAGAAAAATATTTATGTACAATCTCATGTGCACTGCTTCATTTATTTACAGTATATATTTCACTCACTGTATCTGTATTTTAGCATTTAACACTGTTATTATAACAATAGGATTTTTTATACGAATTGATTAATTATTTTCCCTTTATTTCTTATATGAAAAGTACATTTTGTATACGTAGAAAGATCTGGAATTGATTAATGATGTATGCTGAAATACCACTGTATTAATTAATTGAATCAATTAAAGGAGTAGATCTCAAATTCATAATATGTGCATAGTCTAGAACTGGATAATGTTTAATTAAGACTTTTAATATCATCAAAATGTTGAAAAATTAATTAAGAAAGAGATAATCAATTCCTTATATATCTTATTATTATTATTATTATTTAATATGATGGTTTTTGTAGTTTTTTTCTAATTGTTTTGAGATAGCTTACCACTTTATTCTACATATTAACTTTAAGTTTGAATCAAGTTAAGCTTTCATCTTTTTCTAATTTTTTAATTAGTATTTCATACATATGTGTTTTTACATTTTTGAATTACACTGGATCTTTACTTTGTGTTTATACTTCTTTGGCTAAGGAAACCGAAGTATCATTTAGCTCGTGGGCTATAGCTTAAAGAATTTACTTTTTAATTATATATATATATATATGTATAAACAAATATTTATTTAAACAAAACTTTTTCCTATACCATCTCCAAGAAACAGAAATTCAATTAAAACCATGAAAAATTTTAAAACATTTTTAGTCAGAATTTTAATTAGATTTTCAAATTGGTATTTTATAAACCTCTATTGCTCTAAAAACATAAAACTCTGTAAAGAAAAAAAAAACCTTAATTGCAAAAAAAAAAAAAAAAAAAAAGCAAAGCCAAAAGTAAAAATTTTAAGTATTGAAAAAGTAGCTATTGTCATTGATCGTAGATTAATTGACTTATCAAGGGGATAAGTTAATCTACCATAAATTAACAATAACTAAATATAGTGAGAGTGTTTCATCTTTCTTCAAAGTAAGCATCAAATTATATTTCTGCTAAAACCAAATTTTTGATTCGGTTTTAGCAGAAAATACTCAATCAATAAAAGTCACGAATAATACTCAATCAAAATAAAGACATTAATCCATTTAAGACAAAAGAATTTTAAAAAAAAATTTCATTTGTCTTTTAAATTTAAGATTCTCTCTAAGAACACAACTAAACTAAACTGGAAACAACTAAAAAGGGGTATTTACTTTCACTTCCAAACTCAAATGCAAAGGTAAAAAGAAAAGTAATACATTTTAAACTTTTAATGTAATTCAAAATAAAAAGAATACCAAAACTGATAAATTCCTTAAAATTAGCACTTGAACAATTTTTTTAAATCAAACCCATGAAAGAAAATCAAATTAGATTACATGCCTGATAAGATTTAAAACAAAATAACTGGAAATGCAAAGTATTCAGTGATTGAATGTAAAAGGGTTATAGTAAAAAGTGTTGTTCTCTATTCAAGAGAGTTTAGCCTTAAATTGGAGATAAAGCTTATAAAAGTTTCCTGGAGAAAAGTCTTCTTATTATAAATTATTCATTTATTACTTTGCTGCTTCAGTGCAGATCATAGACTTCTTAATTTACTCATTACTTGAATATATATATCTAACCCAATTTATTTCAAAATTCCAATATATTTAGGGAATACAATCAGAAAATATAAAAGAATACAACTGGATAATTTCTGATTTAGGAATAAACTCAGAATTATATTCTACTATTTAACACTCTTCTATTCTTATTTTTAGACAAACACTGATGGCAGCTTTTAATGCAAACAAGCCATTATTTCTTCTGATTTGATTAAAATACATATATTTTAGTTTTATATATAGAGAAGAGAAATTAAAAATATTTAAGAAAATTTTACAATTGATGCACATGTGAAAACTATTTTTATAACATTTTGATTAAATAGCTTAAATATGAAAAAATTTTACATTTACAGGAAGGAAAACTGAGTAGATTACAAGATTATTTTTTGCCAGGGGGAGTACACATTTCTCTTCCTACATCAGCATCAACAGTAGTAGAAGACATCATAAAATCATTATGCACTAAAATGGGAATAAGTACTGAATTTGAAATTCGAGAATATTCCCTATATTGTATAGTTGAAGGAGGTAATCAAAATAAATATTTTATAGTATTATAATATAAAAATGTTCAATATGTAGGACACCAATACAATATTGAAAATTTCCTTTAGTATCAAGAAATCATTTATAAAACTTTCTTCAACAAAATAAAAAATGTATTTTTTCATATTATAAAAATGTTTTAATACATGATAAAACACCTCATATTATAAAAATGTTGCAATTATAAAGCATATTGAAGAATCATTACAGTTTGTATACAGTTTGGAAACAAATGGTATCAAAAAAGTACTCTAAAATTAAATCACGCATTTCACCAAGTGTTTTCTCTAACAGAAGACAGAAACAAGATTTCTACAGATATATAATGATCTGAAAATAATGCGATCATAAAATGCTTATGGAAATTAATTTATATAACCACAATCTTAAAACTACATAAAATACAGTAAGTTAACTTTTCTGATATAGAAGTAGTAATACAAACAAAAACAAACTGCAATGCACGTTATTATTTTTAAGAAATATATGCTTAAAACTGCTTATTTAAAATTTGAACTGCTATCATTTTACATTGTTAATCAAAAGATACTTGTATCTTATATTCAGATACCGTTTGAAACAAATATGCTGCATCCACATATTCACTATATTTGAATTTAATTTATTATATAACATCCCAAAAAGCAAAATAATTTTAACACCTTTTTTTGCTTCTTCCTTTTACATAATAATACAATCATGCAGTGTACATTAGGCAATGTATTGCAAGTGTAGTACAACACACTAAAATATTTTTCAAAAAATTCTGGAAGCATAAGAATAATGAATAGTAATTTTTTATTAAAAAAATCATTTTTTAAATTTGCACATTATGGTACCTTTATTATATACAAATTATAATATCTTCAAAATATACAACCTGTTTATGAATTTATTTTAAATACTAAATTACGTTATATAAAATAATCTTTTGTTATTACTGAATTACTTTATATAAAATTAAATTAGGAATATAAAATTTTACATAATATGCAAATGAAATTTTGAAGTACTGCTGATGTAAACGAATGTTGATGATGTGGAAGAAATTTTAAGATACCACTGTTTTAATTACATTAAAAAATTTCAATCATTTGAATGACTATACATAAACTGTTTCTCTCTTTTCAGACCAATACACAATGCCGTTGGAATATGATGAATACATTTTAGATTTAGTGGCTGAATTAGAAAGGAATGAAAATACATATTACCTTATTTTCTGTCGTTCTGTGTGGTATTGTGATTTAAGACTGGACTCAGAATTATACATAGAAACAATATTTCACCAAATTATACCAGATTATCTAGCAGGTTACCTCATTGTAACAACTTTACAAAATACAACATTACCTCAAGATACACATGTAAGTATTGAGTTCCAATTTTTATAACAATCAATCAGTAATAATTTTCACTTCTAAGAGCACTAAATTAGAAAAGCTTAAGAGGAAAAACCAAAACAATCTCGCATTAATTTGGGAAAAAATCAGTTAAAGTGTTGTGCCAAAATATGAAAGTTCCTGTTCATTACTTTAAGTAATTTAACGTTTAAAAAAAAGATTTCAATTAACTAGCTTAAAAGATTAAAATTATAAAAAGGATTTTTTTTAATCCTAAAACCATATGAATAAATTTTAAGAACTCTACACCATAATCACTTACAGAAATCAAATTATGAAAATTCTCGAATCCTAATGCCCTTGATTACAGAAATTCCTAAGCAATTAAAAAAAGTTACAGAAATAATTTATCCTAAATCTTAAAATTAAAGAAATAATTCTCCATTTCATCCCAGCCTTAATTCCCTTAATAAAATGAGTTAATGAACTACTTGTATTTGTCCTATTTTGTGAAGACAGTTTACCAAACATTCACTCTAAACAGGAACTAATTCAGAAAGATTCCTTTTTATGAAGGGCAATTTAAAACATTTCATAACCATTTTTATAGCTGCATATATAAAATAAAAGATGACTGCAGAATACATATGCAAGTATACAAGCAACGTCTTTAAAAACTCAAAGTTAATAATCCACTGTACTTTAAAAAATTATTAATTGGTAAACAATGAATTGTAGAAACTTTATAATATAGTAGTAACAACTTGAGTACTGCTAACAAAATAAAATACAGTGGATTACTTGCACAAACTTCCATTTGAGCTCATGGTTTAAGCACTTTTAAACAATTCTAAGCAATTCTAAAACTAAAAGCACATTAACACTAATAATAAATAATGTAGAAATTAAAAAATTGCACAGTTAATAAATGAAAATATTAATAAAAAGGTAAATTAATGATAAACAGCAAATACTAAATTATCTTTAAGCAAAACAATAACACAAATAAAAAGGGAATAAATAAATCATAAATTTTAAAAAAATATTACCAAAAGCATATGAAGTAATAAAATAAATATAAGGTAGAGATTTTAAACAGTACTCTTTTTTTTTTTTTTTTTTTTTTTTTTTTTTTACAATCAGATGAAATAGCTTCATCATTTTGACTTCTAAACCAATTAAAGCTTTCCTGACCAGATAACCCAAGATTTTTTATCAGATAAATTAAGCCCATAAATTTTCTCTTCCTGAAAAGATCACATGTTGACATGGAATTTTCCTTCCTCAGCTCAAGTTTTCTTGAGCATTTTGTTCTCTCCAGGAAAGTTAGATCTAATTCAACAGCTAATTTAAATATTTTTTAACTGCTAATAAAATGTTTCAATAATAAGAAATAATAAAAGAATTTTCTGTGATGCAATTATAGAAGAAAATAGAGACCGTCTTTTTTAGAATTCTAGTCTACTATGATTAGAATTATAACTTCACTCAAAAAAGTTAGGAACATCAAAGGCTCTAGCTGAATTTAAATTATGATTTCTTCTTGTCACTGACAGGTATCAAATCAATTGACACAAAACATTATAACTGTGAATAAAGCAACAACTCAACATTATACTAATGTTACTATTTATTAAACCCACAGTTGAAATTTTCCTTTAGAAGAAAAATCTTTTGAAATAAATGCTTATTTTTTGTAAATCAATAAACCTTTCATATAATTTAAATTCAAATTTTAATGTTCACTATTTATCCCCACCCATCCCTCCAAAAATATCACTTTACGTCAAATAATCAACAAAATAATTTTTTTAACATAAATGTCTCTGGACCTGATACATTGATAGTTAAAAGCATTAATTTTTAAGTTATAATTCATGTTGAAGCATCAGGACAAAATCTGTCTGCTTCTATCTGCTATGGACAATATCTATCTATCTTCCTTAATTTGACCTAAATTCTTTTTTACACAAAATTCTTCTAGCAGACAGAAAGCATTTTAGCCAAAGTTCATATGATACTACAGAATAGTTTATCATTTATCAAGCTAGATATTCAGTTTAAATGTATCTTATAATAAAGTGTTCCAATAAAAAAAAATGAGTAAGAATATTTTTTATATTTTCAGAAACTACATTCACATTTGAACACGTTCAAATAACAGAATTTCTTTTCTTTTATTTCAGGTCAAAATACTACGAATAGCAGCTTTACTTCACAGATCAAATGACATGACTGTAGCTCCAAATGAGTATGCAATTATTTTGAACATTTTTATTCTGAAAAAAATCCAAGAACATAGTGAACAATTTTTTATTTCTATAGCTAGTATTTAATTAACCCTCTGAGTGGTACATGATTTTGGATCTGTTAAGATCTGCATGCATTTAAACAACATTTATTAGCTAAATTAGAAAAAATACTTATTTTACTCTCTATTTTCATAAACTTACATTCAGTAAGATGACATTCACTTGAAATTATTGAAGACAGTAAAAAAGCAAAATATCTTAAATTACAAGCTAATATGTGCCAAGCGACACAAAATCTCATGATCAAATAAAGATGGTCATGCCACTCAGGGGGTTAAAAGAAACTAGAAATGAAATATTTAAAGCATCAGAAAAGTTCATTATTTTTTTTTTTTAAATTGTCAGAATGCACGCATTAAAGCAGTGCAAATTTCAGTTACAAACTCAGATGCAGTATTTTCCAAATCTATACATATACACATATTAACCATACATATTTTTCAAATTCAGGACAGAAATTTCTTTTTTATTACCAAAGACAATTGCTGATTTTCAAATCCAACATGCTGAGTGGTCTAAAGATATCAGTAATATTTGGGAAGAGATGATAGCATTAAATACTATAGAAGCCAAAGCACAATGCTTAGGTAAGAGTTTTACTAATAATTTTGTACCCTTTTATTTTAAATAACTAAAATTATTTTTTATCTGAAATTATAACTCCCCTACTGGTTCCTGATATTCAACAATATATTCATCATGATTAGAAAAAGGAATTAAAGCCACTGTCTAATTAGACTTCTTTTTTTTTTTTTTTCAATAAGTTTATATCAAAGCAATTAAAACTTTTCCTTTCAAATTTATCAAAAGTAATCATAAAAAAGGTCACAACACAATTTTTCTCCTTTGAAAATTCTGGACATGAAAAGAATACAAGATTTAAAAGAAAAAGAAAAAAAAAATCTAAAAATCGGTAAAGATGCAGATGGATTAAAGGTTTCATGTCTGTTTAAGCATTAAAAAAAATTAGTAGAATTTAGTAGCTAATTCAACGAACTATGGAACATTTGAGGGCAGACTAAAAGTATAAATTAATGCCGCATAATAATGTCATTAATAGTGTAAATGAAAAAACTTCCAGTAAGACCTGCATTATCTCTAAACATGACTAACTTAAAAAGGAAATGAAAGGGAATTAAAATAATAAAAGAGTGAAACTAGTAAGCTACAGCTTCAATATATTTCCTTTATATTATGTGCTGCCTGTTGAATAAAAAACATGCAAAATAAACTGAGGGTGTACATTACTCAGCCAAAATATCTAGATCTGAGTGTTTATGATATTTCAATGTTTTCACAACAGCATAGCATAATTAAATACGAGAACATTATTTCCTTAATTCTGCAGCAGTGAGAAAAAAATCTAATTTTTACATTTTTACAAAGATTTTGTACCTTTTGACTTCTCGTGTCATTATCAATGTTAAAAAAATCTAAAACACAGGAAGAAAATTATACCAAAACCTAAATGAATTTAAAAGGCAGTAATTCATATTAATAACGTGCTAGACCATTACAAAATTTATGGAGTATGTGATATTTTTTGTATTGATTTACTACAGCATTAATACGTAGTCTTAATGAAATTGTATAAAAATTTCAAATTCTTCATGAATAATATTCTACTACTGTTGCATTAAATGAATAAAAGAAGTAATTTACTTATAATATTTGTTTAGAAATAATGCAGAAGTGGCCACTTTTTGGATCTTGTTTCTTTGGAGTAAAGGTTAGAAATTTTACACTGAAATTTTTTCTTGAATTATTTTTCTTTGACAGATACATAAGTTAAATGAACTTTACGAATACTTCCAGATGTTAGAAGAAGAATCCGAAGTAGAACATATTCTTGCAGTAAATAAAACAGGAATCAATGTACTGCATGTTGAAACACATGTAAGTTACTTTTAATCTACCTGAATTTTTATATTCTAGAGTTCAATATTGTAATTACATATTACAATTTTCTAAACATTCCGATTTATACATAAATGCATGAAATTAAATTACTTTACAAAAATTTATTCATACATAAAATAGTATATTAATCTCTTATTTACAGACGTAGGAATTAAAAATATATGTATTCAAATTAAAATATAAATTAGTACACAAAATAAAGCAATTTTGGAAAAAAATATTGTAAGCCTTATCTTTTAATTTTTGTTAATTTTCAATATGTAAATTCAAAACACATCAAGAACTCTTAATTTAATTTTAGCATAGCAGATCAGAACTTTTGGGTGCACCAAACTTTTAGATCCACTTCATGAGAAAAAAACTTTAGAGATGATTATGTATTGTTAATTTACAAAAAAAGAAAGAAAAGCAACACTTTTATACCATTAAAAAAATAAGCACATTCAGAACAGATATAATCATTTTTTCTTAAAATGCAAGCTTAACCGAAAAAATTTAAGTACTGGTGGTATATAATTGGGTGGTACTAATGAGATCAAATTTTAGATTAAGACTTTGTGCTACACTTCACATTACTACATTGAACAAAAGATTAGAAATTTGGAAAGTCCTAAAAATGTAAAAGCTATGCAATAGCTTTAAAATTTAAAAAACTTAAAAAATATGAATTTATTTTTTCAAATAAGGAGAATTTGAAATTAATTAATTAACCAGATTTTTTTTTAATTCTCGAAATATTAAGTCAGTAGCCAAATGAATACTGAATGAAGAAAAATTGCTTACAATATCAAAAAAGTAATCAATAAAAATATATTCAAAGTCATGTGTTGCTTCACATTGTCAAATATGTTCCAATTATATTTTATAAAATATAAAAGACAGAACACAGACTAACGATACATGTCTGAATATCTTCTAAAATCATCAATATGCATTGATTCTCTTCTGTAATTAAAAATATGCATGACTCAAATACAAAACAATAATTATTTAATACTTGGAAACTAACTTTTCACAACAACTTTTTTTTTAACTTTTAAAATAATCAATGGTCCAACTACAGAATAGTAATTACTTAAGATTTGAAAAATTATCTTTTACAATGTTTTCTTGTAAAATTAGATGAAATAGGATCAAAATATAAAGACTTTTTAATTACATGGATAAAAACTTGATGGAATTACCTAATCAAAAATTGTTAATCAAGCACCAAATTATCATACAAATAGTAATAAACCCACTTATATAAATAGTAATAAAATTAATTATCATATAAATAGTAATAAAACTAATTTAAGCACATTAGTTTAGAATTTTCCATTACTCTTATTGAGACAAAACTTAGGGTTAAAATCCAGAATAATCTTTCTCAACCTACTGTTGTTTCAAATGGGCTCAGACAGGAATCAATGCAGTGATGCACTGGCCTGCTTGCTTTTTAATCTTGCCCTCCAAAAAATCATAAAAGACTCCAACATTAATACTCGTAGAACCATCTTTAACAAATCTGTTCAGATTTTTGCATTTGCTGACGATATTGACTTAGTCACACGCAGTCCCGAGTCACCTAGAGAGGCTTTTACATCTCTAGAAGCTGCAGCCAACAAAATGCATCTAGCAATCAACCAAAATAAAAGTAAATACATGACATGTGGTAATAACAGCAATCCCTATTTTGAAATTGGGAATTACAAATTTGAAACTGTTAGCAAATTTAAATATTTAGGATCAGAGATTAATACTCTCAATGATCTAATGCCCGAGATTCGTAGTAGAGTCACAGATGCTAACTGATGTTTTTTCTGTCTAAAAAAATACTTGAAGTCTAACTTCATTAGCAGAAAAACGAAGATTTTAATTTACAAAAGCTTAATCAGACCCATTCTTATATACTCTGCTGAGACCTGGGCGATGACAGAAAAAGCTAAAAGTATTATTTCTGTCTTTAAAAGAAAAATTTTGAGAAGTATTTTTGGTGGCATAAAATGTAACAATATCTGGAGAAGAAGAACTAACTCTGAACTCTATAAATGTTTTAAAGAAATAGACATAGCAAGATATATAGGGATTCAGAGAATTAAATGGACAGGACACCTGTGCAGAATGGATGAAAATTGAGTAACTAAAATGATCTTCTCGGCCAGACAATTCCGCAACCAAAAAAGAGGGAGACCTAAACTTAGGTGGCTCGACTGTTTGGAAACAGTCGAGCCACTTAAGTTTAGGTCTCCAACATAACCAATTGGATGTCCATGGCCAGGGACAGAAGAGCTTGGATTTTGATTCTGAGGAAGGCAATGGCCCATCCTGGGCTGTCTGGCCATTAAAGAAGAAGTTTATAATTTTTTTAATCCTTTAGTTACTTTTATATGCATATAAGTGAAATAATTACATGTTCATTATGAAGAATGGAATTTTAAGGAAAACTGCTTTACCAAAAATTTTTATATTTGTTTTTCCAAAGGAGATGCTATGGAGGTTCAGCTTTGCAGCAGCTCATGCACCACACAATGTTATTGAGTTAAAAGGTACTACATATGCTGATGTTGTATTTGGTGACAGAAATGTAAAGAAAATCATACGGCTTCAAATTGATCATGTAAGTATGAATTTCCAAGTTCTAAGCCATAATGCATATAGCTGATAAATGCTCCGAGAATCTTGGTAGATGCTAATTACTAATACTTTATAAACTTATTAGTGCACCTCCATACAGCATTCACAAATGATATGGTAATTTACCAGAAACATTTAGAGACACTAGATTAACAGATTAGGCTCAGTAATAAAGATTAATACGATACAAAGTTCAAAATCCGGACTCATCGGGACTTCAGCGATTCCGGATTTGGGATTTTCCCGGATATTAGATCATCAGTTTAAATCTAGTAAGATGGTATGTAGAAATTATAAAATTAAAAATATGAAATCATGATTCATGAAATAAATGAAGTATACACAGCAAAGCACAGTTTCTTAAATTGGGGGTCACGGGACCACACAGCAGAGGGTCGTCAAAAATTTTAGTAGTTTTCATATTTCTTTAACTTATCATAATAATTTTACAATTACAAAATATTTTTGCACAGTGTTTATGAAAACAGATAAAGATAAGACAATATAGACAAAGAAAAAAATGAAAATGTTTCAAAGCATTCTTTTTGCAATATAAACATTAATTTTACTTGCTTTGCATGTGATGCTGTCATTCGTCTGTTACTTATTTAAAATTTTCACATTCTTCTATGTCTTAAAATTCTAAATTAATGATCTAAAACTGCAATAGTATATTACACTAAAAGTGAAAAAATTCACAGTTTTACTCATGCGTGTATCAGATTTATGCAATACTTATGGGGTCCAACAAAATTTTTGTAAATATTATGGGGTCCCGGGGGTCGTGAAAAAATCTCAGTGATAAAAAGGGGTCGCAACTGAAAAACGTTTAAGAAACCCTGATCTGGGTATCAAAATTTGCAAAAAAAAGCTTAATATATATATATATATATATTTTTTTTTTTGTTTACCTTATTAAAGACTTCTTTCAATTTAAGTTAAGTTGCTTTATTTTTTGTGCTAATACTTTCTCTTTAATTCTGTAGACAGACATACTCTCTTGTTGAATTACATTATTGAAGTCCTGTAACTGCTGCTTCGAGAATTCCGACTAACTTGTCAATCGAAATTTCATTTTCAGTAAATTCTGTTACTTTCTTAATTGATTGATGATTGAGAAGCATCACCATAACAATGAAAAAATTTCTTTTATATCATCTTCATTTATTATCGCTTCTCCACATTTTTTCACAAAATCCGTTAATTGGGAAATTTCACCTTCGTTTTGCGATATCCGAAAAATTTTAAAATTAGCGGCTATCAACATCAAATTTAGCTATCATTCACTGTACATATTTGGCTATGCATCATGAGCTTAGCAACTAACAATAAGTTGTTGCGTTAAATTTTATCTTGCTTCTATCGTGCACCGAGACTGCGGCCATACAAGCCCTGGCGCTGGTTCTGGGTTTATCTGAATAACAAATCAGTTATTCTTAATTCAAATAGTCCTAAATGTAATCTTTGGGTCTATGAGTCTATCATCAACAAAATCTATTTTTAGCATATGAAAAGAAATTTCTGGTAAATTTTTCCTCGTCAACATTTTTAGCACACTTAACTTAAATCTGTAATCATCGCCAAGCGTCATGTCAACATAAAAGGTTTTATTATTCAATTACTAACATAAATTTATTATTCAATTACTAACATAAAAAAATTGTTTAGGCATCGCTACATGAGTCATTACTCAAGTTGTCATGTTTTGATAAACATATGGTGATGAAAGGAAAGTATAATAAATAATGGTTTGCCAAGTTGGCGTCAGGATCAATGACATATCTATGTGGAATGTTTCGGTTTGTTTTGTGTGCCAAAAAGCAGATATGCAGCAATGGAGCCAAATTATTGATCGTACAAATTTATGCTAAAATGTATGTTTCTTCAAAAACAAGGTATTTTATTTAGTGTGGAAGTGAAATTAAGAATCGGGACTCTCCAGATGTTTTATTATGCGCAGAGGAAGGGATCAAATGTGCATGCATAAAGCGTAGGAGAAAACTGTTGTTGGTGGTTCTGAGCTTCGGATTTTAGATCATTCCGGATAATGGACATCTATCTGGATTTCGGACTTTGTACTGTATATTGTTAAGTGAGATATGATTATGACTTGGAATTTAAAAAATAAAAAAAGTGATGGAAATAAACAGCAAACATAATTCAAAATGTGCATATAAAAATTATAAAATTTTTGAAACATTAAAATGCATTATAAAAAGTTAAAACACTTCATGTGGAAAGAAATACATTACCACTAATAAATTAGATTTTAAAATATGATATTAATATGTTACACAACTGGCAGGCTATTATAAACATATCACATTTAGTTTCAGTAAACAAAAGGAAACTAAACTATGTTAAAAATAAAAAGTCAAACAGGAACTGAATACCAAAGAAAATCTGAGATTTATTCTTGAACCATACAAAATTCTGTACATGTGTACATTAATTGAAAAATATTACTTGATGCAGTAGCATCAGTCATTCATATAATAGCTATTTTTATGATTTAATTTGTTATGTTAATTGAACAAGAAATGACTACAATAAATGTAAAACAATTTCCATTCAGATTAGAACAAACTAACATCTATAGGATCCTTCTTTGTTTATTTAGTAGTACCTATTATAATACTACTATACATACATAACTATGGATATACAAAATTAAAATTAGCTACATGTTTTGGTAATAATTCACAATAACTAACATTAATATTATTAAATTAATGCTACAGAGCATGTATACACATTTTTAGAACAATTCTGATAAAGAACTTTACAAAAGCAAATGTTTGGGAATAAAACTTTTTGGCTACAGCTTATTATTTGAAATGAAAAATACTGCTTTCAAATTTTAATTGTGAATGCTTGGCATTAAAATTTCTAAATATTAAGCAACATTATTAATCAGATCAATCATTACTTCTACATAGAAATACGCCTATAAAGGATTACCCAAAAAAGGTATACATTGTTGCTAACCTTTTTAAAGTTAAATCGTTGGCAGCAAGAGAAAATTCGCCAATGCAGAAATCAATTGCAAAGTCTTTAAATACATCTGTATCAAAAATAAATAATACAATAAATCAAGATTTGCAAATTAAAAAAGCTAAAAAAAAAGTAATGCTCCTCAGCTAATGTTGTGTGTGAGGCACATGCCTCAACACAGCACAATTTGTACATGAAAACTATTTAGCAGTAGATAAATGGAACTACATTGTGACCCTTGATGAATCATGGTTTACCTAAATGATTGCAAAAGTCTATTTATTATCAAAAATGAAGAGGAAAAAATGTGCAACCTGTTTCTATCAAAGCAAAGAAAGTTTCATTTATGACTGTTGGAGGATGCTGTTACAATTGGGAAATTACAAATAAGGAAAAAGAAAGAGAAAATGTTAAAATCAGTTCAGGGTACTATCAACAGAAGGTTTCATATCCAATATGTACAGAAGAAATTTCATATCTTTATCCTAATAACTTTCCACGGCCGACCAGCGGCCGAGCGGTAAAGTCGCTGAACACTGGTAGTTCGGTCCGAGGTTCGAATCCTGCGAACGGGCTGGCTGCATGGGTGTTTTCGTGGTTTTCCCCATGTGTAACGTGTATACGAGCCAGTTTCCCTTAGAAAGTCCTCCACGAAGGCATCCCTCCCTTTAGGCAGATAGCCCTAGCGAGCTTTGCCATAATTAAATACACACCATACACAAAAACCTAATAACTTTTGAAAAAGTGACACTTCATCGGGACAAAACAACAGGTCATACTTCGATAAGAACCACTGTAATCCTTGAAAAAATGAAGACTGAAACAGATATTGCACATATACCTTTTCAAGGTATTCCTGCAGAGTCCCCTGATAGACACAACAATCCATAGGACTATTTGCTATTTTCAAGGGACTAAAGGCACTGACAATAATCCTGTGGCCTAATGTGCCTTTAATCCCTTGAAAAAAGCTCTTTCTAAATGAAAATCCCACAACTGATGATTCTGGAAGGCAGTGGAATAGGCATGGAAATTAATACCCCTTAAATTTTATGAAAAGCCCTTCTATCACGGAAATCATGATGCAGATTTATAGGCCTGAAAAATGGCTATCAGAACAAACATTTAAAAAAGTACCCTTTACATTTTAAACATGAATTAAACAGCTCCAAAATTGTTCTAAAAATGTACAAACATCTTCTGTATATATAATTGGGAGAATGGTAAATATTATGTAAGCATCTCATGTTTATTAAAAGAGTAATCTAAAATTAAAATAATTAAAGCACACAATTCCTAAGAAAAATGTGTAGATGATGGACTGAGATGGAGAGCCAATGATAGGCCTGAGGCTAGCCAGTTTCTGATAGATGTCACTTAATGTTATGTCTCGAATAATGGTATCTAGAAAAAAAGCCATCCAGATAGTACAGAGGTTAGAGAAGCTTGACTGCAGTACTGAAGGGCCTGGGTTCGAATTCCAGAGAAGGCATGGATGTAAAATTGTCTGTCCTCTCATTGGAGGTAACGGCTGATCGCTCCATTTTTAAGGCTATTTTTTCCATTTTTAAGGAGATAAAATTTATAATCTCATTAAACAATACAATGAAAATATCAAATATAGATTAATAAAGGAATGAAAATATTACATATGGAAACAAATAACAGAAGTTTCCTTTTTGTCAGCAAGATAACAAGATGCTTTTATGACAAGATTTTCTAATAAATATATCAAAGATTTAAAGTTCCGTACAGTTCAGCTGATCCACAGAATTGACCCTTCTAGAATAGCAAATCATTTTATAGGATATTAGATGAAAATGCATTTAGACTAATATGGGAATGTTATATGTCTTCTGTATATTTAAAAACAAAAACTATGTAATTCTGTACAAACATTTGATGTTTTTAATTAGATAGATCACGAATTAAATACATTTTTATTTAAATCAATTAAATTAAGAAGTAAAAAAATAATAATCTAAAGAACTGCATCTATTGCTTTAATTAATAACAGACAGATCAATTATGAAAGAATAGTATCTTATGTTTTTTTGAATAGCAAATGGTTGCATGAAAAGGAATGCAAAAGAAAATGAAATTTAGTTTTGAGATATTTAATCGCCCCCCTTTGGTTTACAAAAAAAAATGAAAATCCAGTCATCAAGAATCTGATGTCAGAAGATTAGAATTAAAAGTTTTCCAACGTGCTGGTTCTTCAAGGTTCGAGGCATTTTAAATAACTTTATTTAGTTTAACAAAAACTAAAGGACACTTAATTTTGTACAGATATACCATATCCATGGGCATATCTAATTCTAATACATACCTGCTAAATTTAATTGTGGCATCAGGGCATTTCTATACAGAAGGCTTTAATAATTTTAATATGTGGTGAAACCGAAAATGATAGCCTTTTTTCTTTCAATTTGTTTTTTAATATGTATTTATTCTTTTATGTGTTTATGACTTTTACAGGCTCATGAAGTCACAAGATTGATAAAGCAATATGAATTAATACAAGAAATGAAGAAAGAAGAAAAAAATGATGACTTATATTATCCAACAGTAATGATAAAGGTGTAATAAGAAATGTATTACTTCAAATTTAAAGCTTTATATGTTGAATGGGAAAAAAATATCTGCTGAAAAATTAAAGAACTGAAAACTGACTAATCATATTTGAAAATTTAAAAAATTAATACCTTCATATTTACTGCACCAGATATTGGCAACTTATAAGAAAAAACAGAATATAAATCAGAAAACAGAATATAAATCAAAATGAATGAAAGAATATTCACATATATTTTACACGTTTTAATACAGAATTACTATTATATCACATTGTTCATGCAACTAATATTAATTATTCAGTAATAACAGTTTTCAGTCTTATTTTTGCCACTGATAGAAAGATAACATTTATACTTAAATTATAGACACTAAATATTACACAGCTGCCATGGTAACTTTATGTGATTACTAAGTTATTAATATCAGTTTAAGACTCAACTGAAAATGTTCAATATGTTTTTAAGAATATTGAATGATTTCTCTTTGCATTCAAATAATTCTCCTAATACACCCGAAATATATTCACAGTATTAAAAATTAATGTTTTTTTTTAAACATAAATTTTAATATTCTAAAATCTGTTATGCTTATTTTATGATTTATTTTCAGCATTTTATGGTTAGAAAATGTTACAAACATGCACAAAGAGAAATTGTACATGTAAAAGAGATTTCTTTAAAAAAATTACATGAAAAAATTTATAGTAAACAAAAACAAAATACAATTTCCTCTCAAGATGATTAAATAAATGTAGAAGACTATGACAGAAACTTCCAAACTCTTACAAAAAAATTACAATACAACCATAATTTTATATAAATTACAAATATATAGGTTAATACTCTAAATAAAAATTAATTAAAATATTTAATACAAAAAACATTTATAAAGATGCTCAAAAATTTACTTAAAAGAGAAAAAATTAATAAAAAAGTATAATTTGGCTGCTTGATGTAAAACTTAGAATAATAAAGCATAAAAAATAACAGATCTTTTACAATGCTGTAATATTTTAATGGTAACATCTGGAAAATGGGGAAAAGGTATGAAGGCATTAAAAAAATAATAATCTAGTATAAATATTCCTAAGATTATATATGAACTACATATATTAATTACATTAAATATATTTTTGTGATTTTAGATGGAATTTTGCTTCTATTTAGAATTATTTACTCATACTGTTTAAGAATATTTTCAGATTTTTACCTTTTGGCTTAAAACATCATATTTTTCCATTTTCACATACTGCTTTTAACATTTAAATATTTTAGCCTTTGGTGTCAGTTACAGATTATTATGGTAAGATGTGCACATAAAATTCATACATCTTGTAATTTATAGATTTGGGTTAATGACGTAAGAATACCTTTTCACATATGATTACGAATTATTGGAATTTTTATAAAACTTATTATTTTTACAAAATTAAAAATTCCGTAGATCCACTTTCTAGATAAAGTTTGTACAAACAAATAGCTGTCCCAACCAATACAATCTTATTTCATTCTTACAGGAAGACTCCTCACTTTGATAATTCAACCAAAGATATGTTTCAATGAAGCTGTTGCTTTATTTTTTCACATGATATTAACAATACTGGAATGGCATTTTATACATATATCTGTAATTTAATAACTGAAAAAACTAAATATTAGCAAATGCATAGAAATTACTGAATAAAATCATGATTTAGATCAGCTTGGCAATACTGGTAAAATTATCGAAAATTCAATTAACAGGCAGTTTAATATTATGATTTAACCGTCTCACTGCACATCCTGCGATTTCCATTAACAAAGTAAAAGTAGCAAAATTTGCACAACCTGTGATTTCCACGAGGATGAATTTTTGACGTCTATTTAACTGTGAAACCCACTCTTTCCTCATTCAAGGTTTCCTTTCGGCATTTCTGTGATGTTTAATTGTTTATTTAGATGTCGGCTAACAGATGACGTTAGTTGCCCACATTTCTGCCAAATATACAAAAATATGTAATGTAGCATTTTTGTCCACGTTTTTCTGAGCTCAAAGAGAGTCTGGCAGGAAACGTTTCCCGAGTGATATAACCTATATTCCTGACGATATTTCCTACACTGATAGTAGTTCTGACTCTGATTTCAAGTATACTGAAGATAGTTATAGCGAAACTGATGAGAATTTCTCGGATTCCTCTGCAGATAGTGATGAATCTGAAAGTTCAGTTTCTATTGAAAACGTTCAACAGTGTTGCAAAATTGATATGCAAATTATTACATTATGCAAATATTTTCGTTAGTATATATGTTTTACCTTTTTATTTTATAAAATAAATCATAATTTAACCAATTTTAATTTTCAAAATTTTCCTTTTACATCATTATTCTTCAATTTCAGTATTTTGACAACCTTTTTCTATGATCTAATTCTATATTGAAAGAAAACTCTTTTACAAAATTTTTTTGTATATTTTAACTCTAAAATATACATAGATTTGAAATATGTAATAAAAAAATTTATGCAATTTTTTAACCTATTTGGATAAAAAAAAAAGTATGCAGTAAGAGGGTTAAATACGAATAAAAAAAAGCAGCACATAAAAATCTTCTCTTACATCTAAGGCACAGAAACAAAAAGCAATTAGTTTATAAACTATCATTTTAAACAGTAACTTTAAATATAATTAGCATATACTTATTTATAATTTTTTAAATGTTAAATTTTTTTTCAGTTATCCTTATAAAAGTACAAAAAATAAATAACAAACATAAAACTATGAGAAAAATTCTTTTTAAAATAAAAAGCCTTTAACTGCATGACTGAGTATTTAAAACATAAATTAAATAAGAATATAACGCAGAAATGGGTTCGTAGCAAGATACACAAAAACCCAATTATCTGGAAGATAAAACACATATTTTTCAATACATTAAAATATAAATTAAATAATTATCAAGATATTCAGGAATATTTATTGCATACCATTTAATTAAAAAATTTTTGAAAGAAATTTGTATTTTTTGTCATGACTTCGGGCAACTGGGCTAGATGGCTTGCATAACAATAAAATTGCATTCTAGTTGTTACCTTACTTTGAAATTTGATTACAGGCAACCTTTTAGACAATTTATGCATTAAAATCCATTAAAAATATATATTTTTTGGAGGAGAAAGTTTCAAAAATTAAATTTAATTAAAAACGTAATTACTCATTTTCATATCTATACATACTGCAAAACTATACAAAATTTATTTTAAAAGCTTATTTTGGAAGGAAAAAGTTTCAATAATTAAACTTAATTAAAAATGTATTCATATATATATATGCAAAGCAATATAAAAAGATATAAAATATTAATATACAAAAAACATAAAACTGAAATCATTCGTGACACTTGACTTATTATTCATAAGATGTAAATTGATGTATTATTGATGTAAATTTCATATGTTTTAGTCAAATATTCCTTACATAAATGAAAGATATTTTAAATAAAAGGCATACATGGAATTTCATGATTTGCAAACCTTTTATTTTAATTGAAATAAAATATTTTAAACATTCAAATTACAATTTTGTAAATATATATATACTTTTAAAATGCAACTCAATGAAAATGCTATAGAAATACAATAATAGTATTATCTACATTAAATATTTTTATGATTCTTAAAATGCTCACTCAATTAATGAGCTACAACTTTTCAGTTAAGCATAATTTTCAAATATCATTATTTCAATATATAATCATTACAAATGAGGAAATTTTTTAATATCTCACTTAAATAATAAATGCTTACATTCACATATTCAGAATACATATAAATGCCCTAAGAGAGCAATTTACAGGACACATATAAAGATATATTCAATACAATGGAATGCACATTCTACGAATTATAAAATGTGTATAATTTCTATAAAATTATTTTATAATTATGAACTATAAATAAATATTAAGTTATTATTCATGTAAAAAGCATGGAAAAGAAGAATTTAAAAAAAGTATCACCATTTTTAAACATAATTTAAAAGTATTTAATGAATAAATAATTTTTTCAGCTGTCACATTAATTACTGTGGTAACTGCACTTTTTTGTAAGTAAAGGATAAACTACAAAGTTCCAATTTTCATCCCATTCTAACCTTCCATATTTTGTTAGATTTTCTCTGAATTTATCTAAATCAGTCTTTTTTGTAGGGAAGTCATGTAAAAAATTCTGAAAAATTGAAATAATTTCTATGAAACTAGAATGCAATTTTTAAAACATATAACAGATTTTAACTGAACATAAATATTTCTATAACAGCATTGACATTTAATCATTACATAAAATTATTATGCATCGATTTTCAGAATAAAATAACTTTTACTTATGAATGTACTTTAAACTGAGAAGAAAGTTTTAGTCAAATAAATATTCCTAACATACATGAAAATGTTAAGTCGAATTTATTTCATTTTCCTAAAATTTTCTGTACATTAACCGAGTATAACATATTTTTTACATCTAACACATTAAATAAATTTTCAAAACATATATTCATTGTATTGTACCAATTTGACATTCTTTTATTTCAAGGAAAATACTTCTTCAAATTAAATTTCCAAAATGAGAATGTAATTTCCCTGAAGTTCTAAATTTAATGAACAATTTTGATATAATTTTTTAAATTAAATATCATGCATAAAATCTGAATACCTGAAACTGAAGACTCAACTGCCGACTGTTAGAAAATATTTTACCAAATACACCATCTTTGACTAGCTCATGAAGGCTGTCAAATGAAAAAATTTTTAATATTAAAAATTTATACTTAAAAAGAGAGAAATCAATTATTACAGAAAATAATCAATTTTAAATAAAAGCCTCTGCTTCACTTCGAATTTGCTTCAAAGTGTCACTTACAAAATTTATTAAATTTAATTTTACATTCAACAAATTAGAGTAAATTAAAACAAATTTAATTTATTTTTTAATGCTGCATAAATTAGTATGTACAGTCTGATTTATACATCATACAGAACTAGAAGAACTTTTATAATAAGAGGTGTTTAGAATATAAAATCTACAAACTAAAACCTGTATAACAGAGAGGGAACACAAAACCTATACACTAAAACTAGTATAACAAAGCCGGGAAATCAAATATAATGTAAATAAAAAATGATATACGCAATGTGAACGACTTAATAAAACACAGAAATGGCTTATTCATAATAACAAACAAATACAAAATTCTTAATTTATTTAATTATGTATTCACGGAACTCGGTGCAAGCTGATATGTTGATTTATTATTAAAATGCTTAGTTATAGCAATACTTCAGCCATTTTAAGCTCAGCGAAATAATCCTACAGAGAGCTATGATGATGAAGTCTAACAGATAAATTCCTTGTAAGGCAAGAAAGAAGATCAATTTTGTCAAAGAAATAAAAGAGAAAGGAAGACCACAACCAATACTTTAGGAAGGGACAGTCAACATTACACACCAGGCACCAGGAAAATCCAGGTATTGGTGACATAAAACAAAACAGCCAATGATACAGAAAATTACACTTTTATGTATTCTGTAGAGAAAAATCTAACTAAATTATTATTTAATCATTAATTTACCAACATCTAAACTATGATTAAATAATCCATTAATTAATGAATGCTAAGCAAGACTGGGTTAAATGAATGCAATAAAGAATACAAAGAATTATAATTCCTTCACCAGTTAGTGTAAATTGGGGGGATGTTACATGTTCCATTTGAAGATAAATTCATCAAAATTTATAAGTATCAATTGTTTAAATTTTAGATCTAAACATTTAATTCAGCTACTTTCTTTTTTCCAAAAGATATTTGAATAGTGATCAACTTTTTGGTTGCGCTATTTGCAGCAGTTGGTCTTTATAAGATTTCAATAGAATAAGCAGTTTTATTCTATATCATAGTCAGCATAACAAAGAATTTCCTTATCATAATAAATGTGACTGGAAACTACTTCAAGTTCTTGTGAAATTAATCTACACATCTGAAATCTACACATTTTGAACAGTAGGGTTCAAGTTTCTATTCTTTTTTCAATGAAAAATACATATTCCTACCAAAGTTGTAACTTATTTTTCAGGTACCCACAACTCAGGAATAGCAGCTTACCACTATCAGGAATGGGAGTTTTGAAGCCGCAAACTAGTTGCGGATGCAAAGGCCTTTCTTTTTCTGGCAGTTTTTCACATTGCACTTCATATGGCTTCCGTAGTGATAAAAAACTTCACTTTATTCCTGTTTTTGTTAATTCAAGAGAAGGATAAAATATTTCTTTCTTGGAAAGATGCAACTGCTTTATTTTCACTTAATGGTAAATTTAAAATTTTCATCATTTTTAATACAAAATTTTCATCATTTTTAATAAGCCGGAGGAGGGGTCAATTTCTTAAGGAACCCTTTTCTCCCACAAAAATGTACAATTATTATTTGGTTTTGGTCTTGCTATATTTTTTGACAATAATTACTGTCAAACTTGGTAATGAATTACTGGTTGCCAGCAAAATCAATAATTACTAACTAAAACACAACAAATCAATGTTTATTAAAAAAAAGTTTTCATTTTATAAGTCAGTAAAACATTCTCTGTGAGTAGCTGAAGCAATTTAACAAATTTCTATCAAAGGAACAGAAATTTCCAATTCTGAAAAGTGTATATGCATGACGCATCGTTGACAAAGAGATATAATAGATGAAAAATAAAGATGTTAAGTTACATAGTCCCCCCCTACACCAATGATTTTTCATTCTTAACCCTCTGATTGGCCCAATTCCTATCACTGGAGTTTCACCAAGAAAGCCCAGACTTCCAAAAACTACCACGAGAAAGAGTTATTTCTTTGATTTTAATGCCAAAATGCCCCTGGCACTTTATACCTGGATTTATGTACTTTTAATATATTGCCTTAATTTCTTGGGCATATTTCAATATGCATGTATATATATGTTCTTTATAGACATCACAAAGTTATTCTACATATATATATGTGTGTGTGTGTATATATATATATAGAATAACTAAAATATATATAGAATGTGTATATATATATATCGCATTACCGGTCAGAGGGTTAAGAGAAGAAAAAATGTTCTTTGCTATGCTAGTAGTCTGAAGATTTTGATCCTTTGTTGTGCTTCTGAAGCTTTTGATCATTTTCATGTTCTGCAGTAATTATACTACACAGGATAGCCATATAATACAGTACAAAGTCCGAAATCCAGATGTCCGAAATTCAGATGTCCATTATCCAGAATGACCTAAAATTCGGACCTCAAAGCTAAAAACTTTTTTTTTTTTTTTTTTTTTTTTTTTTTTTTGGGGCATGCTTTACGCATGCGCATTTGATTTTTTCTTCCATAATAAAACATGTGGAGATTTTCACTTAAAAATTCTGATTCTTAATTTCACTTAGGCACTAAATAAAATACCTCATTTGAAAAACAATCATGTAAGCATAAATTTGTGAGATTAATAATTTGGCTCCATAGCTGAGTGTCTGCTTGGCATACATCTCAAAAGTTCTGTTCCATTCCGTTTACCACTGTTTGCTGCGCTTACCGAAACATTCACTTATTTTATATCCCTGACGCCGACCTGGCAAGTCATTACTGATATTGATTTTGCTTTCATCACTGCATGTTTATGAATACATGACAGCTTCAGTAATAACTCATGCAGTGATGTCTAAACTTTTTTTTTTTTTTTTGATAATTGAATAACAAGAGTATGACAACCTTTTATGTTAACATTACGCTTCGCGATAATTATAGATTTTTAAATGTTCTAAGAAATGTTGACGAGGAAAAATTAAGTAAAAATTAATTTTCATATGCTAAAAATAGATTTTGTTAATGAAACTCATATGCCAAAAGATTACATTTAGTGCTATTTTAATTAAGAGTAACTAATACCTTATTCACCATAAACCCAGATGCGGCGGCAGAATATGTCGGCACCGGATGGCAGAATTTAGAAAAGATGAAATTTTTGGAATTTGGGGAAGCACTGAGCAACAAATTAAGGGATGAGAAGTTTTTTATGATTTAGGGAAAGCACTGGGATGCAAAGCTTAGGTACGGTGAAAATTTAAAACTTAGGAAGGCGCTTCGTAGCAGAAAATTTAGGACCCGCAGAGACTGCACTATGCAGTATTTAGTGCTGGCCGTAGATAAAGCATTAAGTATATGTGCGAGTTTATTTATTCAGGACTTGTATTAGTTTTAAGCATGTGCAAGAAATAAACGTAGGTATAGTAAATAACTAAACTAATACAATTCAGGCTTAATTCAGTACGCAATAGGAGCAAGACAAAATTTAGTGAAACAACTTAGCTTCCGTCGCCGATCTTGTGATACACAACCAATAATGTATAATAGTTGCTATTAAGCTAAACTAAAATTATCTTTACTGATTCTAAGGCATTTCAGTTAATGCAGCGGACTGCGCTGCTCCCTAATCTTTTAGTTTGATCCAGCTTATTATTTTTTGCAGACTGTTATTGTTACGGCAATTTTGTAAAAACTAAGCTTGAACTTTCGAATACGCCGAGCAGAGCTCCCAATTCTGGAGCTGCCAAAGAATCTACAAAGCAAAACCATGTTTTGATGTCCATTAAACAAAAAGTGAAATTACTGCAAAAAATGGATAAAGGCATATCCGTCTCAAAATTAAGCCAGGAGTATGGCATTAGAAATTCAACTGTATATGACATAAGAAAAAAGAAAAAGGAATTTTTTGAATTTTTTGTGGAAGTATCTTAAACAACTTACATTGAAAGAAATGTTTAATAAAGTACACAAATAAATATTAAACTTTTTTTTTTTTTTTGTAAATTTTGATACTCCTTTGATCATAATTGTTCTTTATTTCATAAATTACGATTTCATATTTTTAATTGTATAATTTCTGCATGCCATCTTGCCAGATTTAAAATAATGATTTAACATCCGGAAAAATCCCAAATCTGGATTTACCGAAGTCCTGACGAGTCCGGATTTCGGACTTTCTACTGTATTTTGAATCAAATAAGCCTACTTTAACGGAATTATTAGTGAAATGTGTAATTGCATATTAATCCACATCTAAGATTTCTAAATTGTTAATAATGGCACTCTCGCAGTTTTATTCTGTGATAACATTTTCTTTGCTAACAAATATTTAACTAGCTTTTGCAACCATGTATAAGTCATCTTCTGTTCACTGTACATTTAATCGTATTCCGTTTCCTTTCTGAGTAATACATATATATTAATTTTCTGTATTGTCTATGGGATTTGCCAAATACAAAAGCCTAAGAGTTTTGCTTCTTCCTATATTAAGGTATCATGCCAAAATATTGAGAATGCACTAATTTCCATGCAATGAAAATACACATTATTTGAGAAAGAAATGCAAAAGTTAACACAGAAAAGTGAATGCAGACTATAAGTTAAAAGAAGAAATAACTTATAAAGAAGAGGATTACTTTTTTTATCAGTACAGATTTATTTATTACCGACACCTGCATATTACAGCAATATGAAGACAGATATTTATTAGCAAGTTATTACAACAGCCACCATGAAAATAAAGATATCAATTTATAAGTGCTGAAAAATGTTCATAAATATTACAAAGCTATTGAAAAATCAAATTACATTCTAAAGACTTCCTGTATTTTACAACATATTTCAACATATTTGATAAAAATTGCTTTCACCGAGCTGTGTAGAATGACTGAAATTAATTTCATACTGTATTATACAAATTCTACCAGATTTATTTATTTATTTATTTATTTATTTATTGTGAAATAAAAAATTTTAAATTTCAATTTCAATACTTTTACCAATATGCATAAGGATTTTAAAATTAATATTTCATCAAAGTTAATCAAAAATTTTAAAAATTTTAATTTAATTAAAAAAAAATTTCCTGTCTTTATATTTAAACAAATACTTGACTTAATTAAGACAATGAAATTTAACAAATAATAAAAAATGTATCTAATTTTTTTCATTTCCTTTTCTACTCAATTATATTATAATTTCAGCAAATACCTTTTCCTTTGTTGATGCACAAATTCATTAAAATATTTATATTTCCAGCCACTTTTTTTTTTGACTAATTACTCTATCTTATACTCATTTTGTCTGATTAGTATGACTGATCTTAAAATTCTTTCTTTTTTGCATAATTGTATTATTTCATCACTGCCATCTCATGAAACATAAACCTTGTTTTTAGTTATAGCACTATATAATTACATATCAGTTCCAAAGAAACTAACATTTATATAGTTTTCATTAAAAAATCAGCAGTTTAAACTAATTATATAAAAAATATATGTAAGATAAATGAAGAATATGTGAAAGATTAAATTAACAGCGTAAATTAATTTCCCTTCTCTATTCTAAAGATAGCAACATCTATTTGCACTGCATCATTTCGAGAAAAATCTATGTCATACGACTCTTACGTAATTCTAGTGATGTAAATTGAACTAAAGCAGCCAATAATAATTTTACAGCAATATTAACTATCCAATCAAAATGCTTTGAGAACCAAAACTAACTCAGTCTGAATAAGATTTCACCCTGAAAATAATGCACTTGCTTTCTATGCTTTGCCTTAGCTTGACTGCAGTCTGTCTGCTTCTTCTTTTTTGCTGCAAATCTATTACAAATGCCCCCTGGAACAAGCACATTTAATGTGCTGACTTGAGTGTAGCCGCAACATGTTGCTGAAAATAAAACTGAAGATTTATACTGCCTTCTCCTCCAATTTCCTAGTCATTATGGATCAACACTTCTATGCCATCAAATTCCTACTTCTGAATATATTACATATATATAATAGATTCTGAATAGTCAATACAGTATGTAATAAAATAAAACATACCACCACAAATAAAAATGAAATTAATCTAAGAAATAATCTAATATAAACTTACCACTGAAATTCAAAAGCACATACAGGTAAACAGCATCCAAACATATCAACCACTTTCATGGGAAGATCAAACCCACTTGAAGAATTATGTAGACTGACACCCAAATCAGCACAAGCTATAAATATTTTATTAAGAAATACATGAACAATTTTTAAAACATAAAAAATCTCAGTTGTCATTAAAAAAAAAAAAATTGGGGGACAGAATTTTTATTTTATTAATCTCAATACGATAAATTAAATTTTAACTTCAAATGAAAACTTCCTAAAAGTACATAAAGAAAGATGATTTTATAGCATAATTGAGTTGTCATTAAAAAATAAAAAATTTTGGGACAGAAGAATTTTTATTTTACTATTCTTAATACAATAAATTAAATTTAAACTTCACATGAAAACTTCCTAAAAGTACATAAAGATGCAAATAAAATGCTACTTTGAAATAAAAAGAATCATATGTTGAACAGTTAGAAATATTTTAGATTATTATAAAAACTATGTAAATAAATAATTTTAATGATCTATTTTTTAAAGTAGGGGTCTTCAACCTTTCACGCCCAAAGGCCACATCAATAAATTCACAAAGATCCGCGGGCCACATGTCTGTCAAAAAAATAGTGTAGTCAGAAAATTTATATAAAAAGGGAGGTTTGTTTTGCAAGACTACAATTGATTCTAAGCGAAGAGATAGTGTTACAGATTTGTATTTATATATACATTGATTTCAAAAAGTCTAATGGAAATCGAGGTAAAATGTTTTGCAACTTTTTTTAACTATGAAGAAAAAGTATAAAAATGATTGCACAGAACCATATAACAAAAGGCATTTACAATGAAAACAAGAAAAAAAAACTTACATTACTATGTGGTTATGAGGGAGATGGTGGTCACTTTAGTTTTAATGTGAAATTTCACATTGTTTTTGCTTGATTAAAGCTTCAATATCCAGTTTAATCTATATTGTTACAATTCCTATTCCTCAAAATGTCTATCAGGCATGTTCTTGTTTTTGATTTAAGGATTTTCATTTTACTAAAAGCCTGTTTACATATGTAGGTACTGCCAAAGATAGAAGACATGAAGAGTGCATGTTTTCGAATTCCTGGATACTTGTCTTCGGTCTCGTTCTTCAAATAAAAATCAGTTAATGTAGAATCTTCAAGAAACTTGCATTTTACTGCAGAGACACACTGTAAATCTATGAATTCTAATTGAAGTTCAGGTGGAACACTTCCAACGTCTACTGAAAATAGCAAGGAGAACATTGTCATAAATATTTCATTTTCACGAAAATTGGAAAATCTGCTTTTAAATTCCTCTTTCAAATATGAAATACCTTGTACATAATTAACTATTGAATTCTATGTTGTAGAGTTCTTCAGACACTCCATCAATTTTGGAAAGTGAGTGGAATTTTTATTTAGCAACTGACTTCCCCACAGGATTAATTTTGTCTCAAAAGCTTTCACAAAGTAATAAAGATTATAAACAAGTAAATCTTTTCTCAGTACAGTAAGCGGTAGTTCAAATCACTTAGATGACCTGTAATATTGACAAGAAATGCAAAGTCTGTCAACCATTTCTCAACACTGAACTCGTGAATAGATTTCTCTTTAGATTCCATGAATTGTTGAACTTTGCTCTTCAAAGAAAACAGGCACTGAAGCATCTTTCCTTGGCTCACCCAACGTACTTCCAGGTAATAAATCACTATATTCAGCTTCCAAATCACTCAGAAACTGTTGACATTTCCTTAACATTTTAGCGAGAATGAAATTAACCACTTTAACAACAACATTCATCACATGTTTAAAATTTGAGAACGACTTCTTGCACAAATATTCTTCGTGGAAGATGCATTGGAAAGTCATCATAGTATTATTTCCACTTGCCTTCACATCAGATTTAAATAATGTTATTACTCCTATTTTCCAGTCATAGATTTAGCACCATCCGTTTTTATAGCAGATATATTACTTAAGAAGTCAACTTACATTTATGCAAAGTTTGTGTCAGACTCGAATACAAATCTGTTCCTCGTGTTGTACCTTGAAGTGCAACAACACTGACTAATTCCTCTAATTGTGAAGTTTCTATCAACGGCACGAATAATAATGGATATATGTGCAGTATCTGTTGCATCTATTGATTCATCCATCACTACAAAATAAAAATCAAACGTTTTGCATTTTGATTTTAATTTACTGAATATATCTGTTGCGAGATCCTCTATGTGTCTCACTACTGTCACACCAGACTAGCTAATATTCGATATGACTTGAGCCTGTGATGGAAAAAGCACATCAACTGCACTCTGAAGACATTCTTTTACAAATACTCCATCAGCAAAGGCTTTTCCACTTTTACTAATTTTTTCTGCTTTTATGTAACTAACACGAACACTATTTTCAGATTCTTTATGCACTGTAGTGAAGAAAGACTGCTGAAAATTTAAATTTGATTTTAATTCACTCACCTTATCATTTCGAAAATGACATTCCAATGCAGAATATTTCTCACTGTGCTTAGTATCATAATGTCTCTTTAATAATATTTAATTTAATTTGTTAACTAAATGTGATTTACATATTTTCCATGAATATCTTGTGTTTTGCATACCACTTGCCATTATTCGCGGTTAACGTATCTGCGGTAAAACTTGGAACATAGTACACTCGAATACGAAGGCACTATAAAAAAAATTAAATGATAAGAGCAAAATGTTATAATTCCAAGTAACTGAAGCTATTATATTGTCGCAAAGTTATGTTCTTTTCTGAAGAACTTGTTTTATATAACAATACTGTAAGATTTAAAGTCCCTCCCCCACCAAAAATAAATAAATAAATAAATAAATATGGGAATGATTTTGCATTCGAACATGTCAGTTATGAATATAGTTAATTTTATTTCAGACAAAATGCAAAGATCCTTAGTTCAGAAAATTGTAGAAGAGATTCAGTTTCCTTTAATTTTAGATGAATCAACAGTGCTTAGTAAGGGTGCATGTCTTATCACATAACATTCGAATGCAACTTTTTAGTATGGAAATCCGGTTAACACATTTTTGATTTTAATGTGCTTTAAGAAGATATATGATAAATTATGATATATTTTGATTTCTTTGTTAAGTGAATTAAAACGACATAAAACTTAGTGAGTGTTAGTTGTGATGGTGCATGTGTAATGCTGGGGAAACAAATCATAATGTCTATAAAATTTCTTAAAATTCTTCAAATTCAAATGTGGGGCCACTAAAATGTCTTCAGCAGGCCACGGGTTGAAGACCCCTATTTTAAAGGATACAAACAGTTAATTTATATGAAATATTTCTTAAAGAATACAAATGGTTATCAATTAACAATCCACTGCTTAAGTCTACAGCAAAATAAAAGTGCTTACATATTATTTCTGAGATGAATGTTTCAATTCTCATAGATACCAAAAATTTTCTTAACTACATTCATAGAACACTACATGCTACACACTTTTACTGGGGGGGGAGTGTAAAGACAAAACATGAAAGAATTTTTTTAAAAAATGGTAAAATCCATGCACTTCTCAGATAATATGCAACTATGAAACGTGAAACAAACTGTCAAAATTTTCATTCTTCAGTATGAAAATGAATTCTGAACAGGCACTACTAATCACAAATGCAAAGTGACTGGATGGAAATACTTTTTATTTCCGCTATAAAATCAAATTTCATTTCATTAATTTTTAGATAATATTCAATATCAGAGAGAAAAAAATCATCAGAGAGAAAAAAAGGGAAAAAAATCATCATCATATATATATATATATATAAATTCATTCTGCTCCCATAGCCTACCAAAATATTTAGTAAGCAGGAGCTAGGAATCTGAAACAGTACATACATACCAAGACAGAATTTAGTGATATTTGACAGACGAGAAAGCGTGACAACTGAATTGAGTAGAATGAATTGTAAGATTATTTATTACACAACATGCATATTATTACATATTTTATATTTTAATTTGGTACTGGATCCTGAAAATCAATCAACTTACTTGAGTTTCTTCTTTTCTATTTCTTTCCTTTCCTCCCCCTTCTTTTTTTTTTTATGTATGTGTATGAAAATTTTGAGACAATCATGTTAAAAATATATTCAAAACAACTATTCTCTTTAGCAACACCTTTTACCCTACAAAAATTTCACCCAAAATTCCTTCCATTGCAAGCATATCCCACATGTTCATGTTTGGAAGTTCGATTCAAGATTAAAATCATGATTTGTCTAATGGAACTAGAAATACAACAGATAGGACACATGAAAATGGCGGCATTGCATATTAACCTCTTCATTTAAACAGTATCATATATGACACAATTCAGTTTCCTTCTATGAATCCACCATATGAAATGCAATACAGAAGCAAAATGTAGCAAATAGCCTTTGTGAGTTTTGTATCAAAATTCTTCAATTTATATCTAAATTGATTCAAATAATCTTAACTTCTGGATAAGCTGAACACTGGACATTCCTATATTTAGTATATATATATTTATGAAATAATATTAATGTATATTAATAGTATAATACTCATTGTACTAATGAGCTATTAGGACAATAACTTTAAACTCTTAGATATAAAATGTAAATATAAAAAAGCAATCCTACACATCTAACAGCATTTAAAATATAAATTTGCATTTTATTCCAAAATGGTAATACTAAAAAAATTGTCTTCAAATTCTCATAAATAACAATGCAGATTAAAATATTTATTTTCTAACCAGCCTGGCATCTTGTTCAGTTAGGAAGAATTCGGTTATTGTAGTAACTATTTTAAAGTATAATTTGAACAAATGCATAGTTAGTGTTGTGTTTTTTCAGAGACTGCTAAAATAAATTTTATTAAATTAATATAACTCAAAATAAATATATGAACTAAGTGCTGTATAAAACAGCCTTATGATGTTCAAAAACCTGAAAATATTTCAAGCAAAATAAAGGCTGATCTTTCAATAATAATTAATGCATAAAACAGATTTATATCGGACTTCAATTAATTTAGCACAAAATATAAATTTAGAAGGACCTCAAATGAATAATATGGTACCTTACCGGAAAAAACATCTAAGCATT